GCCCGTGACCAAAATATCAATTATTTTGCAGGTCAGGAATGAAATGCTTTGGAATTTCGGTATCAAGGGAAGCCAAGCCTGCACTATGTTTGATTTTAGTTAGGAACATCAGTCCATCACTTTATATGACCACTGAAGTTCATTATGTTTTCTCTTAAATATATATGTTGAAAGAAAAGCAATTTTGTTAACAAAATAAAAAAGCCATTTCTTGTCTTTCCTCCACACCAAACTCGAGCTCTAAAATTGTGACATGTTCATTTACACTGACATGATTTGTAATAAAAGCTTCATTATACAGGACAACTAGAAGCAGAACTGTTTTGAAGGATGAATCATTCTCCTAACATTATGATTCACCTACTTACCTTTACTGTCAACCAAGCCCAATGTAACAAAATAGCTGAAAAATTAATATTAGGGTTACAATATTAGGCAGGGTCATTCTAACTGCACCTGTGGACTGTCACGACCAGCCTTCTCTCCACTCGTTTTTAATTATCTCTCTCCCCATTTTTCCTTCCAGATTTAATTACTTTGTCTGACTAATGTGTGTTCACAGTACAAATAGTACAGAATGTCTTGTGTGAAAGAAACTGCTAATGAATCTGTATAAGTGCGATCTGTCCATTCTGTGGCATGTGTTCCTTTGGCTTTAACACCATTGGTGCTAAATTGTATGTGATGTTGACTGTGTGTGTAGACAATGAAGGCCAGAGCAGGACAGTTCTAATAATAATGGGAAACATGAGCTCCTAACAGTGCAAATGAAGAACTTCGAAATTGAGGATGGTTCTTGTAAATTGGAAAAACGAGAATTATTTGTTCTACTGAATAGGAATACAAAATAAAAGTAAGATCCACAGGAAACTAAATTGCTGAGATTGCTTCTGTATGATGATCACTGCATATCACTATAATAGGAAAATTATCACAGAGCAGCCAAAGGATGGTGAAATGTAACACTCATGCCAAATGTTAGAAACTATTTAATACTAAGAACAAATATCCATCTTAAAGTCTCATTTAGTCACAGATGGGAATTTTTTTCCACCAAAAGGATATATCTTTATCCTCACACACACACACAAACACATCCCATGCAAAGTGAAAACCAACAAACATTTGGGCATCTTTAAATACACATCCAAAATATCTATGATGAAATCGGTAATTGTACTGTAAACTCATATAAACAAATATTACACTAAGAGGATCTTAAATTTGAAGGTGCAGCTTTTCCTGATTTGAGTGCTTAAAGGTAAGATTCCTTGCAAAACAGCACCTCTGCCCCTTCATGAATGTGCGTTATGAAATGGTCTAACTAAATGATCACATACTACAGTAATTCTAAGATCATCTTTTTACAACTTGGGGAACCTGTGGCTCTTTGCCTGCACACCAAGCAACATGTACAGCAGCTCTCCTTGACCTTCATAACTTACCAAGTCAATAGGGACAGAACCAACGTCTCCAGTGGAGCTCTTGCTTCAGTCCATTCAAACCTGGACAACAGTTTCCTGTACAAAGCCAAATTAGCTAGATGTTTGTGTATAGTGCAGCATCTCTTAGCTGCACACTTGGCATGAAATTTACTCCTGTGCACTTAAGAACCACTTAAGTTCCACTTAAGCCCTATTTTCAAGGCTAAAATTAAAACTTAAGTGGCGTATATGTTAACCTTCTGGACAGAAGAAGTGACTATCATCCTATAAGAAACTCATGAAAAACATGCACTGTGCATACTCAGTATGCAATTTTCAGAGGTACAAAACTCAGTTAAAACTACACCTATTTTCTCCAGAATGCACAAAGATACTTCTACACAAATCGGGCTATTTGTGTACAAATGTTCAACTTCCATTTCCCAGCCATTTTGGCTGTAGATGGGTTCAAATAATGGAAAACGTCTATTTATTTCACTCTCTAATGCCTCTAGAAAAGCTGACGTGATTTTGCTCAAATTTGCCAAATAGTTCATTGCCAGACAGAAAAGCCTCAAATTAGTCTTTCCCATTCCTGTTAGAATACAGTACACATGCTAATATTACAGAGCAGGTAAGTAGAAGAGTTATTTTTACTCTGTTCTGCATTAATATTTTGCAGATTAATTCATGCAGTGATCGTTCATCTGTGAATACACACCAAACACAAACAAAAAACCCAATCCCAACACAACAACAAAAAACCTACTGTGTAATTTATATAGCTTCACATCACAGGATTAACAGCTGCTTGTGTGAAACTTCTAAACAGGCTTCCAAGCAAGTCCATCCTCTAAACAAAACATTTGTAATGTTCTCGGACTGAGTTGATGACGCTGACTTTAGAAAAAGTAACAACAGCAAAATCAAATTCTATCATATTCCTCTTCTTTTTTTCTGATTGCCAGCTGCAGTGCTCATAGAACTACCATAGCTGAGCCCCATTTGAATCAGAGGCAGAAAATAGATTGATCAACTTGTATCTGAGTTAGCATTGTATATGCACCAGTGATTAAAAGAAATGAGACTAGTAGAAATGAGACTGGGGGGGAAGAGATAGCTCAGTGGTTTGAGCATTAGCCTGCTAAGCCCAGGGTTGTGAGTTCAATCCTTGAGGGGGCCATTTAGGGATTTGGGGCAAAAATTGGGGATTGGTCCTGCTTTGAGCAGGGGGTTGGACTAGATGACCTCCTGAGGTCCCTTCCAATCCTGATAGTCTATGAGTCTATGATATGTACGGTCCCACGCTATGCACAGTTTTGTCATTTACCTAAAAGGGAGAGGCCAATACTGGGCTCAGGCCTGACTTTCAGATGTGCTGAGTAGCCATAACTTTCCTTGCCTAAACTGGACCCTCAGTTTCCAAATTTGGGTGGTCATGTCAGCACATAGACAGTTCCAGGGTACCCATCTGAGAGCCCAGAGAGGGAATTGGGCCCCCATCTCAAAAGTGAACAACTGTCTTTCCCAATCTGCTCTAAAGCTAAGTTTGCACTATGTAGACTGAAACCTCATCCCTTTCCTGGAGTTTGGCTCCATTAATATACTGTAGCTCAAGCTTTCTCCACAGAGTTCCTAACTCAAGGCTGTTCTCCAGTGCTTAATTTGTGCCAGGGCTTGTCAGGGCTAAGCCATGGCACCTCTAGGCTTGGCAATTCATAGCTCTGGCACTTCTGAGCTTGCTGCATCAGTTACAAATGTAAATTTTTTTTTGCTTGATCTCTGACACCTCTTTCATTGCAAATTAAGCACTGCTGTTCTCCCATACCCTAAGTCTTCTCTCTCTCTCCAGAGAACCATTCCCACCACCCATATCTGGACAGGGTGACAAGCCTCTGACTTAACTGAGTCTGCAGAAAGCACTTAACCTTTCTCAGACCATTCAAAACCTGCTAGCTCGGTGTGGTGTTTCAGGGAATAAGCGTTATGCCAAATTTGAAAAATGTGTCCATAGTATTTCCAAAACTACGTATTACTGTTTGTGTGTGTAAATGGAGTTACAGGGCACTATATAAGGAGAGCTCAGCAAAACTCTCATGGTGCATTGTATATAAAAAAACTGTGTGCTAGGATAATTTAGGGTGTGCTTCAGGCTACAGTACTGATTATGAGCAAAAGTTGTAACTATCCTGCAGATTTAGATGTTGTTTCTACCATGACAATACAAACAAGGAGGCAACATTTTGTATCACCCTGAATTGCTGCCATCAAAGAGAGAAACTTATTTTCTAGGTGCATAATCTGATTGTTGCCTCAAGAAGCTGTGGGGTCCAGAAATAGATTGGACTAGTGGTATGTCATCAGGAGAATTACACACAGTCAGCAGATTTTTGTACTAGCAGGCAATACCTTCAGGATTCATTTCATGGTATACCTTAAATTCATTTCCGTAACATCTTTAGAATCATCTGTAGAAGCTACTAGGTAAAGATTTACTCTACAGAAAACCTAAAAGAATATCATAACCTGTTTTGACATTGCATGTAAGCTAATAATTAGAACACCTCACTTATGCTGCCAGCAACATCTCTTGCTCAGGAAACTCCTCTGCATTCTACTAAGTCAATACTGTTATAATGGATCAGAGTTTCCATTAAAAAAAACAGAAAAATATCCTGCAATGTGCAGGAGGTCAGACTAGATGATCATGATGGTCCCTTCTAGCCATAAAGTCTATGAGACTGGGAGAAAAATATCCTGAAGTTCAGGGTTCACTGGTCATTCAGAACAATTCCATTATTGCAATACAGTAAGTGGGAATTGCAATTACAATTTTCACACTGTTTTCACTGAATACTCCTCAAAAATCTCTCCTTATGCAATGCAGTCATATTTAGGTGAAGATGTTATCACAAAAAATTCTTGGTAAAACAGGTGACATTGAAACCAGGCTTTTGGCTACTAAAATTATTTGCTATCATATGGAAGATATAGAAGCCAGATTCTCAGATCTAAGCATAATGGGCATGCCCCCAAAATGTGTGCGTACATGCAAAACACCACATATGTACAAGGAAATCAGCATTTTCAATGCAGAGAAGGTATGTATATAAGCATCTAACTATTTATAAGTCTAAAAACATAGGCTTTTGAGAGTGTAGTTACTACACCCATGTTTGAAAACTTGGCCCAGATAATGAGAATAAATTTTAGATTCTTCTTTCTCTGGGCAAAGGAAAAAAGGTGAGAATGGTTGAACAAGAAGCAGCATTAACCTTAGTCACACACGGTAATAATATTTAAATAAAAACTTAAAACAGATATTTTATGAACAAATATTTTCCAGGGGTTGGTGTGGGATAGGTCCTGCCAGGCTGGTAATCTAGTAATTTCCCCCTGATGGCCTTCATTTATTTTAATAAAACATTAAGTCTCTAGTCTTTACGGCTGCAATGATAAACTTTAATGTGGGAGAGGTACTACTTCTCCCTCCCCTAGAAGTAGTACCTCTATTTTAGCCTCCCCATTTTAGCCAGTGACTTTTAGGAAATAAAGGATAGAAATAAAGTCTCTCACCTCTTGCTTGTAGTCCAGGCCCACATGTCTCATGGGCACCTGGACTATCCTGACGAACATACCATGGTACCAGTTGGCATCTGCGCCATTTGTGGGTCTTCCACCTGCAACAAGAAAAAGGATAAATTAGAAACACTACATCTAAATGATATCTGTCAAAATGTAAGTAAGCAAAATATGATAGGTTACTTCAGAAACAATAATAAATGATTACTTATTATTAGCCTATCACAGATTGTCCACAACAAAAGTTAACAATAGCATGAAGCACGTTGAGTTTTCTTTTTTGTTATCATTTTTTTGCTGTGCTCCGCTTATAGCTCCTGTTAACTTCAGCAGGAATTGCAGGTGTTGAAGAGCACCAAATTGATGTTTTTCATTCTCATCTTCATCAGCTGCTCCATATTAAGGGGCAGGACAAGATCAGAAATTAGGATAATCAAAGCCGAACCCAGCAACTGTCTTCATCAGCAAGCATTCAGTTTTGATGGCTTTCTTGGAACAGACATATTATTAGGATGGAAGACAAATCAACTCTGGAATGCGTTTACTAAGGAATGTCACATTGCCAGCAATACAGTGTTGCCAAAAGCTTTGGTGGTGACATAGGGTTGCCAATGATGCACATAAACTCAATATTCCTGGCAGACCACCTTAAGGCTCTAGGTAGAGATGGATCTGGGTGGTGCTCAATCTCTTTTGGATTTGCAGTAAGATGATGGAACAGGACCATTGTCTTCCTTCATGTATTTTAAAATACCAAGCACTCTGCTGGTTTTCAACAAACAAATAATGAATATAACAGCTGTAATAATTCTGCTGCCAGGATTTGTGTATCTGTGTCTTGTATACTACTTTGACATTTCACCTCAAATTTTACAAAACTAATATGTTTAAACCCTTTTTCTTTATAATCTGATTTTGATTACTAGGACTCTGAGCATGTTTTATATTTTTCATAATAAACAAGTGACTGGATTTGTGTGCAATTATCTATTTAATGAAAGGGCCCCTTCACTGTGTTTGTGTGTTGAGGGCATTTTACAGTTAGTCAACAGAAGCCTACTGCATATTGAAAATGTGGCTGTGATGGAGTGAGTTATGTCTGAGTCAAATTATGAACCCTGTCTTGTTTTGTGTGTGGGAATGCTGGACACTGTGATTCCACAAGCCTGGATGTGCCAAAGACAACCTATTGCACTGCATTACAGACAACTGCCCTACCTGCGACAAGTGCTCGACACCTCACTGAAGGATTCTCACTCAGAAGGCATCAAGACAGCAATATGGAACCACGAACTTTGAATGACTTTCAACAACTGGCCCATTCCCATGGAACAACAGTTTTCTATATAAGTGAATAAGGCATGACGTGTGGGGAGAAGGCTAGAGTATCCCAAGTTGAGAGCCTGATAAAGAGGAGAGACCCTGCTTAAAAGCGAGGGTCTGATCTGTGTGTGCAGGTGGGGGATACCATTGTGCTCCACCCCTGCAACCCCTCCCCCACCAACCAAAAGACTTGCAGTATGGTGAGAGCAGGAGGGACTCTGGCTAACCCGAAACACATCAGCAAACCTCAGTCTCACAAGCGGTGAGATCCGACCAGTGGAGGGAGCATCAGAGGATTTTTGTTTTGTTTTCAAAGATCTGTAACTGTTGAGTGCTAAGTCTGTGTTCCTTGCTTTCCCACCATATTATTCCAGAAGGGGTTAAACTAAAAGTTCAGAGTGTCCTCAGACTAGGTGGAGCACTGAGGGCGTGTAGGTGACTTGGGGAGAGGCACAGAAGTTCTCAGACACTGATTTCCAGGTCTAGGATGGCTGGGCAGCAACGCCCCACATCCCAAAGAAGGAAGCCCACACCAGAGATTTGAGCCAGAGAGTGTATAGTCCCAGATCTGGAAACAGTTATTAGACTCTAGCCAGATCCAGTTGGCTTGGAAGCACATGGGACCCAGAGATTTGGATCACTTCCAACAGGCTAGTGACTATATAGTGGGGCATGGGACCAGGTTGTAACAGTGGGGAAAACATAATTTAATCAAAATAAACAACAGGGATGATGAACTTCTAGAAGACTGAAATAGATCAAATAAATCAATACTGTATAGATTTGATTATTCAGTTGCATATTTAATTCAGTTATAAACATTCATTTAAAAATTTTTCTGAAGCTGCTACAAAATTTCCGCCATAATACCGTAGAAGTTAGGTGTAGATTGCCCCAGAGTACACAGGGCCTTGAATATAGCAAAACCTATGCAGGATGGCTATTCTCATGTCCTGCTGTAATCTCAACTGAACTGAGTCATTCAAAGTGAAAAAAATAAAATGCATACATGACTCATAGCACCCACGTGCCATAGCCATCAAAGTGTGGCTTCATGTGAGATCGTCTATACCTTTAGCCCCAGCTTTTAGTGTAACCTGCCTTCCTTGTGCTGCTTCCTGAACTGAGGAAGGAGTAGGGAGCTGGCTGTGTGTGTCATTCATAGTATGTGCCCAGGACAGAGAAGAAGGGTGATAAAGGGAAGGTTGTTTAACACTAGTCCCTTCCAAGAAACTTAAGCTGCCCTGCCTACCACTGCTAGAAACCCAGTGTTCTCCTGCACACAGCATCCTGCACACACCAGTGGCTCAGCTGAAACTCCAGGAAAATCATCTGGTTTTGAAGGTGTTAAATAGCTGAGCAGCAGCCTATGTTTAAGGGATAAAATGATTAAGCTGACACTGCAAAGGAAAGTTTTAAAATTATATTTGGAGTGCTGCGTTTTGGTAGCTTCAAGCATTGTAATCATATCCTCATATACCATTCAATTAGAAATGTTGTAATCTCCTAATGGATTGGAAGTGATAATTCTCTGACACAGGATCAAAGTAATATATTAATAACCTCAAATTTGTTTTCCATTCTGTTGTTGCCAATGGAAAGGACATTTATCAGGATCATTATGACAGAGTGGCAGCATTTAGGGGAAACAACAGGTGTTCTTTGCTACCAGGGAAGAAACAGGATATTACTTTCTGAATCAAACGTGTCTTTCCATTATTTATATAGTACTGACAATTAAATTCAACTAATTTCCTATTATTGGAAAGGCCTAAACATCAGGGACCACACCTGGACTGCTTTGTGCTGCTCTGGTACTAAGAAGCAGCTCCAAATCTGGCTTCACCTTCTACTTGAGAATGTACTCACCTAGGGGACTCCTGAGATGGCACAGGACCACTATAGTGGTTCCCACACAGTCATACTTACAGCCCAAAGTGTGGGAGGAATAGTCAGGTTACCCTTATATCCTGGCAATCCTTACCTGCTGGAATGGTCTTTTGCATCCTCTGGTGAAGATTACAGCAGCCATGAGGATGCTCTAACCTATGAGAAGATGGATTGTTGGATAATTGATGGATAGTTTTGGGGCTGGATTAGATGCCAGGATAGCTTAAAGCCACTTGTGTACACACCTTCCTGAGCTGTGGAAACATTTCCTTTCTTCTCGGAGGTTGTCATCCTCCAACACAAGATTGGATTTCAGTAATGCTATATGTATTTAATTTAATAAACATTTTTAGAACATTTAGAAAGAAAGCTTTTACATTTGACTGCTCTCATACAGTGTTCTCAAAGAACTGCTAAGAGATAATTATTCAAACATTTGAAATTTAACAACCAAAGAGTTGATGATGTGGTGTGTATGACATTTATATCTGCAGAGGTCAAATATGTGTAATTAGAAGCAAAACACTGGAACAAAAGAACTTTGGCTGGAATCCAGATGTAAATCCAACAGAATGTTAACACAATTGGCCAAATACAGGCCTCATGTAAATGGATGTAACTCCATCGAAATCAATGGAATTGCACCTGCTTTTACCAGGCCTGATTTGGCTCTGTACCCTATTTTCCCTTGCACTTTACAGGATGTGGGAGCTGAAGAGACCTGAGTAATTTCTCATAATTTATTTGGGTTACCTGTAAGTATAGCACACAGGAGGAGCCTCACATTCCTTTTCCTCATATAACGTGTCTGGGCAGTCACGGCCACCATTTGCAGGGAGCTGGAGGATGACTCGATGGCGAGACTGTTTCTTTACTGTGACATCCCCTACGAAGAGTACAACAGTGCGTTTATTTCCCGCTCATACACAGACGATTTCTAGAATTAGGATTATACTGGGACTATAGTAATTAGAAATAGAAAAGATTTAATATATTACATAATTGATTCCGTTGCTGTACAAAACCAAGTTATTTTGCCCATGACAGAAAATTAATGATATTAACTTACTATTATACTTGATCTCAGGACAAAGGGTGAAAAAGAAGCATTGGTACAGAAAGCATTTCTGTCAATAACAATATACATTCATAAACTGTACGACTGAGTGATATGCTAGATGGGCCTGATATGCTGCTATGCTGTACAGCTTCATAGATTATTTTATCCTTAAAATTAAGACATGTAAGCAGAAATGTACATAGTGCAGTGAATAATAAAGCTCCATTCCCTAAAGAGCTCAACAACAAAATCTAATTCTTTTACCCTTATCTCCACACCCAGGAGGTGTGTGGCAGATTTAATTTATGCATTAGTCTTTATCCAAGATTTACTTTAACTATATCTGTGTTTCCCATATGGGACTTATATTACCCTACAATCAACTACCTTCCTCAAGAGCATGCAGCATGTTTAAATGTGAAGTTTTATTTCCCTGATATGACTTAATTTACTGGTCTCACATTTTTCATTATTATAGACATTTAGTATTGATGATAAATAGTAAATTATTGCAGTAAAAATTAGATTGTGGTCATATTCAAAAAGTCCGAGCTCTGGGCAGAAAAAAATATGAGTGGAACCATAACTCTGTAGTCATTCCACCGCCCTGATTTGCTTCTAAAACTAGTACGATCTAGAAGTTTTAAGTTAAAAATATACATTTTGTAAAACAATAGCCTTAAAAACTTAGTATGGATAAATCATGGCAATCTGGTCCTAAACTGCAAATAAGATCTTCACTTAGGGCATTAGTGTTGCTCCAAGCCATGCTGACTGGTCTGGTAATAGCTTCCAAACAGTCACTGCAGCAACAGGGCAAACATGGCTCCTAGGCAACACTCCAACATCAGTGGCTGAGAGGGGAACAACACAAGAACTGCTACACCAGACTATGACACCTGGGTATTCTTCAAAACAGGAGGAATTCTCAGGTAGTCAGTAAAGTAGCCAGAGCAAGAGCCAGGATCTCTCCCAAGGCGCATAGCAGAAGAGACTCCCAGAGATGCTGCTGACAGCAGCAGCAGGGACAGGTGATTATTGTAAACTGAACATTGTTGCAAAGATATTGAGATAACATTTGGCTACTGAGTAGAAACGATATTCATTCCATTAATCAATTTTACTATCTCATTTGCCTGTCCCTATAATTTTGTTTACATTCAGTGTGTTTCAATTTGCAGTACATGTTCTTGAGGATACGCTCAAGTTATTAAGAACCTTTTTTAAAATAAAACAAGACAAGACAGTTTTGCACCCTCGTCAGGGAACAACCCTGCAGAAGCATCTCAATGAGAAAATTATAATATTGCTCTGAAATTATAGAATATTAGAAGTGATTCTAGGGCTTCATAGTAATATTATGGCTATGATGAAATAATTTATTCCAAGTTTTAAGTAGCATACCCAACACTGTGTACTATCAAATTCAGTGGTCCCAACTATCATATTTTTAAGGTTATACATTTAATCTCCCTAATTCTTTATTAGTTGTTGTATGCTCCAACAACTAATTGGAATGACTGTAAAAGTGACTTTGCATCCTTTGCAAAGCATGGAGAATTGACTTTGACATTTAAAGGGTATTTATTTGATGCAACAATCTCATATTTTTTTATAAGTGACAATGAGTAATCACTATGCTCCATGAGGGAATTAACACATATGAACATGGAATTACATTATTGACTATGCCTATAATAGTGCATATTAGAAGAATATCTTCTGTTAAACTTAAAAGAGAAAAAGTGATAAGGCAGAAATATCTGGGCAACAATAATTTTTTCAATGCTTCCGCTGTAATGATAATTTCAAAGCAATAAAAATTCAAATACATCTATGCTGTGTAACTTCTTTTAAAAGCTTTGACAGGTGCATTAAAAAGACTTTGCAGTGGGAGTTTAATTCAGAACCTTAATATTAATTTGAATGTTGGTTATTTTTGTGGTTTATTTTCTTATGATTGTGAAGGTAGTATAAAAGCAAATGGACAAAAATGAAAGAGAACCACTTCTTCTGTTAGTACTTTAGGACTCACATGACAGAGACTTTTAACTTTTGTTGGGCCTACTACAATCATGCACATTTGTTAAAACAAGAACAGAACCAAATTTTGCCCTGGGATATTTGCTCAGGTTTTCCAGTGAAGTCAAACGGAGCAGTATGCAAGGGCATATCTGACCTGCATTTAAAATGTTTTTCTAGTTGTACAACTGCATTGCAACCTTCAATGGTGTTAGAGTATTCCTGTCTATGTGACTAATGAGCTATTTGTAAAATGGCAAATCTAACATTCACCATAGCAACTGCTATGTCACAGTGGCCTCTCTCTGAAATACAAGAGAAATACATCTAAGAGAAAAAACTTTGCCAATACCAATCTGTCAGAAGCCTACACAGTAATAAACTAAGTGTGTGGTTTATTTTTAAATAATCTGCCCTCTAATACACAGTGAATTATAGTACCTTCTTGACATGGGGAAGAACACAATGTCCAATCACTGTATGGAGTCACAATACAGTCTTTCCTACAAGGAAGCAAACAAGGCCTCACCGTTTCTGGTCGAAGGCTTTCAGGACATCTAGAGAAAAAAAAAAAGGAACATTATAAAATGAATGATCATTCTATGACAGTGTTAATTCCTGAGGGATGCTGAGAACCTGCAGGTTTGACTGCAATTTTTTTTAACCATTTAAATGCTAGCCTCTATAATTTTCAAATGGTGCACAAGGTGCCAGGTGTATGAGTACATTTAATGGGAGTCATATTCTTATAACAACCACCTCCCTCCCCTTTCCCCCACACCGCTTTTCAGTTTAAGGATAAGGATTCCAGTTGCCGTTTGCAGGAAAGCATGCCCGGCAGTTGAAATACAAGTAATCTTGATCTGCATGAGACAGAATAATCTTGAGTGAGGGTGGAAAATTTAGAGCAAGATGTCTTTGTTATCTGTACTTTTGCAGAGCTTAAGAAAAAGGATATAAAGAGACTTCTTAGGATGGTTATTTAAATCCAGCAGTTTAGATGTTGCTTGTGTTTAGGTCTTGTCCACACTAGAAAGGGTCTTCAAGATAGTTATACTGGCACTCCCTCCTAGTGGAGGCACAGCTTATATCCACAAAAGAGTTCTTTAAACCGGTATAGCTTATTTTCTTCGCTGAACTGGTATAAGCTATACTGATTTAAAGAACACTTTAAAGAACCAGTTCCCCAAACAAAATAAGCTATAATGGTAAGAGGATCTTTTTTTTGCTGGTAGAACTGCATTTACACAAGGGTGATTTTTTGCTATGTTTGCAAAATATTTTCGTATAGACCAGACCACATTTAGCACAGTTCTTGACAATATATATCAATAACTAATCTACATTCGTGCACATTAGAGTTTTCTAGGATTTTAGAAATCTGTGTGATTCAAATTGGCTATGAGCATTCATAAACCAATACAAATTTGACATGAATTAAGGAACACAGCCACTTGATTCAGAAAAAGCCAATTAGATCATCCAGTTTTCTCCCCTATGAATGCAGGATTGTTTTCTGTATTTAATTTGTCATGGAAAAGATCTTGTGCATTATGTGCTGGTGTCTATTTCTGCAAAGACATTACATATTATGACCCTGATTTCCACTACAGCCAAACTGTGCTTGGATGAACTGGAGTGGCAGCTGCAGGAAGCTGGCTGCACGTTCCTGATTCTCAGGCACCCAGCCCCGATGGATGTAAGGTAAGAATAGCAGGGAGCCTGTTCTGACTTCCATTATTAGTATATGGTCTGCAGCAGGACAGGCCACCACCCCCTGCCCACAGAAGACTCTTGACATGCCTCTCTCTCCTCTTACACCAGAGGTGGTGTGGTTGACTGAAGCACCTTCGCTAGCTTTCAACTGGCAGAGATCTCTTCTCTGAAAGGGGAACTCTCGCCAACTATTCTGAGCCTTTCAAGTTCATTTTGTGTCACTTACATGGTACAAGGTAGCCTCAGCAGACTGGAGAATCAGAGTGAGAATGTGTTTGTGTGCACGTGCGTGCGTGTGCGTAATCAAATACAGTTGCCGGTTTTAAAGAGTATTTATCAACAGTTACCACACAGTGACTACGTTTTCAGAGTTTTTTCTGTTCTTAAGATAGGAGATATCTTTGGTAACTGTTTGATAATGTTTGGTAAATCTTGACTTTCTAATGACTTTTTTTTTTTTTTTTTTACTTAAGATGTGTATACAGACAGCACAACATTTACATTGACAAAATACCTACTTTACACAATCAAGATTATATGCAATTTGACTAATTGAGGGCTTCATCTTTCATGAAGTCTGCAGGTTCCAGCCCTTACTCAGAGGCCTTTTGATGAGGCAATTGGTTCAATTAAAAAGCCACTTCTATGTTTATTAATGTTTCTATTTAGTATAGGTGGCTTAAAGCAGCTATTGATTTTCTTTTCCAACCCTTATTCAAGGTGAAATTAAACAGAAGTGATATGAGCTGACATTTGTTACTTGTAAGGTAGATAAAGCCAATAATATTGATTTTATCATATCACAGTAATCCGTTTTATTAAGGGGAGTTTAAAATGAGGTTCCTATTTACATTTTCATGTCGAATGTGTGCTCTTTAAAAATGATTTAATAAATTTAACATGACAGTTTGAAAGGTAACCAATGCCTTTTTGTTCTCATTTCACAGGATTTGTCTATGACAAGACACAATAGTCCTGTTTTCAAAATTGTAAGGTCAAATCAAAGGCAAGCACTCTAATGGTTGATTTAAAAATCAAAGGAAAACTCACGGTAGAATGATTTTTTCAATGTAAAATGGTTGCCCACTAACACTGAATGGAATGCTTATTAATATCATTTTAATGTGGTTGCATGCACACACATTTTAAAATATGTGATGTGCTAACTATCACGTATATGAGTTCTCCTCCCCCACTCTTCCTTTTAAAGTGAATTTAAGATGACCGCCATGCTGATGAAAGCAAGACATTGGTGGCATTGGGCAAAGGTGCAGTGTGAGAGGCAGCTGCTTTGGAAACTTTCTTAAAGAGCTCTGTTAAGCTACTTTGTTCTTGTCCTGCAAAACACCAACAATTCCATCTCTGGACCTCTCCTGACCAGGATACATTGGCCATACTAGAGAATGACAAACTGTATGGGCAATTAAACTATTGGGCAATTAAACTATTGGGCCGCATAGACCTCTTAAAATCTTGGTTATGAAAAAACCTAACATGTATACAAACTAAGATCTCTATCCTGGCCCTTCCTGGTTCCCTGGTGAGGAGTCTAGTAGAGCTATGTAAACAAAGATCCACAGCTGTAGAGTACTACTTGGATCTTGAGGGGCAAACCACTACCAGCCCCTCAGGGACAGTAACATAGCAACTAAATGGCTTTCAATTCCGAACCCCTCTCCAGTGGCGGAATGTCTGAAGGCACAGGGTAATTCCTGGCTGATCAACAACTGAGAAGATGGATTGGACCAAGATGCTTGGAGTCAGTGTCTCTGATTGACAACTCTGAATTGGAGCTGTCAGCAGAGTCCACTGTAGTGAAGATCCCCCATTGCGATCACCTACTGTTTGCTCTACAGTTCTGCTCGCATTTTAGATTGTGTGCTTTTAAAAGTTATTTACTCATCAGAGCAGACATGACCATCAGTTGAATTGTTTCCCTTTGCAAATACTCAGCTGATTATCTGTATCTAAAAAGGCAAAATAATAATAATAATAATAATAAATAATAATAATAATAATAATTAACTTAATAAAGAATAGTTCAAAGATCTTTACTTTTTTGGTCCCACTTGTCCCACGTTGACCCTCACACAGATGACTTTTCTTGTTTGCATCCCAACAGCACAGGTGGCCTCCCCATTCCAATTGGTAGATGAGTTGAAAGTGGACACAGAGACATCTTCTATACACTGGCCCCAGGACCCAGTCTGCCAGTGGTACACAGTGCAAGGGTGTTCATTACAGCTGCGTGCTTCCTGAAGTGCACTACTGTTTGGGCACTGAATGCCTCCTGGAACAACAAAGCAGTGCATATGTTCATAAGTTAGAAATAAAGAAATTATTACAAATATATTTGAGATTCATATTAAATACATACCAGAACATGTGTCCTTTTAAACCCTTCCTTGCCCCTTATTCAAGTTATCAAATAGCAATGAACAAACATACAGAACAGATCATGAACAGAAAATGAAATATACACGAGGGCAATGTTCCAATGATGATATCATATATCATACAGTATCTTAATCTGCTGGGAATAATGAATAGCCTGTTTTTAGTTTGAGATTTGCCATCATGCAGACTGTGTTAAATAGCATTTTGGTGAGGAGAGGAAGATTCTAAGTGGAAAACAAGGTTAAATTAACTAGTTATGCACCTCTGGAGACCACTGTTTATATCCAGTTCAGGGAACTAGTGAAAATGAGTTTGGAGATTTTGTCCTAGATTCCAACTGATATTTATCCACATTACATAATCACCAAAGAATTTGGCAAAGTTGGCAATTTCAGCTCCAGCTTGAGATGGCAGAGACATTGTAGTTCAAGATTAAAATGCAGTGATATGCCAGTAATTGCGTGGGAAAGCTGAGATAATGCTATTATCATTATGTTCAGCTCTATTTAGTGCTATCAAACCCACCTAACCTCCTCATCCGAAACAAGTAGAGGAGTGTCCTTTCCCATTGAGATTAGATCAGAGCAGAGAAAGCCATGATTTAAGCATACATTTAATAATTCATGGTTTAAGCACAGAATAATGGGCCCTTCTCTGGATCTGCTTTAACTGCCCATCTCCACAGGCTGAAAAAGACAACATCCTGCCCTGGTAGGCGCCTATCCTAGGTTGTGGAAGAAGTGAAGTGTGTGGTTGCACATTAGTTACACAGGGAACACTTTGCTTTTCCTCTGATATCACTGCAATTATCACCTTATAAGGATTCAAACTTTTTACGTATGGGGGAGAGGCTATTCTAAATTTGATTTAGACAAATAGGGAGGAACTGGTTGAGAATTTGAAAGTGGAAAGCAGCTTGGGTAAAAGTGATCATGAAATGATAGCATTCATAATTCTAAGGAATGGTAGGAGAGAAAACAGCTGAATAAAAATAATGGATTACAAGAAGGCAGACTTTAGCAAACTCAGGGATTTGGTCGGTAAGATCCCATGGGAAGCAAGTCTAAGGGAAAAACAGTTTGAAAGAGTTGGCAGTTTTTCAGAGATATTATTAAGGGCACAAGAGCAAACTATCCCATTGTGTAGGAAAGACAGGAAGTAGGGCAAGAGACCACCCTAGTTCAACCAGGAGAAATCTCTTCAATGATCTGAAACTCAAAAAAAAAAAAAAGTCCCACAAAAAATGGAAACTATGTCAAATTAGGAAGCATGAATATAAAAAAATAACACAAGCATATAGGGACAAAATTAGAAGGCCAAGGCACAAAATGAGATTTAACTAGCTAGAGGGTAACAAGAAAACATTCTACTAATACAGTAGAAGGAAGGGGAAGACCAGTGACAGAGTAGGCCTATTACTCAATGAGGGGAGAAGACAATAACAGAAAATGTGAAAATGGCAAGAGTGCTAACTTATGTTTTTGTTTCAGTTTTCACCAGAAAGCTTAATAGATATAGGACGTCTAACATAGTGAACACAAGTGAAAATAAGGTAGGATCTGAGGCTAAAACAAGGAAAGAATAGATGTCTTCAAGTTGAAAGGCCTGATGAAATATATCCTAGAATACTCAAGGAACTGACCGAGGAGATATCTGAGACATTAGTGATTATCTTCAAAAACTCATGGAAGACAGGAGAGATTCCATAAGACTAGAAGAGGGCAAATATAGTGTCAATCTATAAAAAGGGAAATAAGGACAACCCGGAGAATTACAGACCAGTCAGCTTAACTACTGTACCCGGAAAGATAATGGAGAAAATAATCAAGCAATTCATTTGCAAACACCTAGACAATAATAAAGTGAGAGTCAACAGTCAACATGGATTTCTCAAGAACAAATCATGTCATACAAACCTATTAGCTTTCTTTGACAGGGCAACAAGCCTTGTCGATAGTGGGGAAGCGGTAGATGTGGTATAGGTTGACTTTAGTAAGGCTTTTGATACTGTCTCAAGTAACCTTCTCTTAAACAAGCTAGGGAAATATTGCCTTGATGGAGATACTATAAGATGGGTGCCTAACCGGTGGGAAAGCTATTTCCAGAGACTAGTTATCAGTGATTCAGTCAAGCTGGAAGGGTATATCGAGTGGGGTCCCACAGGGATTGGTTCTGGTTCTGTTCAGTGTGTTTATAACTTAGATAATGGCATAGAGAGTACTCTTATAAAGTTTGTGAATAATATCAAGATGGGAGGGATTGCAAGTGCTTTGGAAGACAGGATTAAAATTCAAAATGATTTAGACAAACCAGAGAAAAGGTCTGAAGTAAATAAGGTGAAATTCAATAAGGACAAATGCAAAGTACCCCACTTAAGAAGGAACAATCAATGCTCACATGCAAAATGGAAAATGACTGCCAAGGAAGGAGTACTGTAGAAAGGGATCTGGGGGTTACAGTGGATCACAAGCTAAACATGAGTCAACAGTGTAACACTGTTGCAAAAAACAAACAAACATCATTCTGGGATGTATCAGCAGGAGTATTGTAAGCAAGACATGAGAAGAAATTCTTCTATTCTATTCCATGCTGATAAAGCCTCAGATGGAATACTGTGTCCAGTTCTGGGCACTGTATTTCAGGAAAGATGTGGACAAATTGGAGAAAATCCAGAGAAGAGCAACAAAAATGATTAATGGTCTAGAAAACATGACCTGTGAGGAAAGATTGAAAAAAATCAGTTTGTTTTGTCTGGAGAAGAAAAGACTCAGGGGGGACATGATAACAATTTTCAAAGGCATAAACAGTTGATAGAAGGATGAGGGTAAAAAAATGTTCTCAACCTCTGAGGACAGGACAGGAAGCAATGGGCTTAAATTGTGGCAAGGGAGACTTAGGTTGGATGTCAGAAAAAACTTCCTGTCAGGGTAGTTAAGCACTGGAACAAATTGCCAAGGGAGGTTGTGGAATCTCTGTAATTGGAGGTTTTTAAGAACAGGTTAGACAAACATCTCTCAGAGATGATCTAGTTATTACTTAGTCCTGCCTTGAGCGCAGGGGACTGGACTAGATGACCTATTGAGGTCCCTTCCAGCTCTGTACTTCTAGGATATGCATAAACAGAAAATTCATATTTATTTTAGATGAGATAAAAAATCAAAAGATATAAGCCATCCTATGTTATTAAAACAAAATTAAATAATAAAATAGTAACAACAATAGTATTTCAGAGCATAAGCCAACCATTATCTGTCTGGGGTTGGAAAGAAACGTCTTGTACGATCTGGTTATTCCATAAATATCCACTAAGGGGATTCTTGCACCTTCCTCTGAAGTATGTGGTATTGCCCACTGTCAGACATAGAATACTGGCCCAGAGGGACCTCTGATCTGATCCAACATATGCTTTAGCTAATACAAACACAAGTTATTGGGCTCAATTTAGGAGTAAATGGCTGAAATTTAATGGCTTGCAATATAAAGAAGTTCTAACTAGATGACCTAATCTTGTCCCTTCTGGCCTTAAATTCTATGAATCTATTAACATGCAATTACCACATTAAAAGCCCATTCCCAATGCCATGCTCTGACCACTAGATAAGGGTCTGGCCAATAGCATAGCATCTTATTCTCCCCTCCCTAGATCATATTTCCTATTTCAGTTTTTCCCCCCATGTTGTCATTTGTGTTTTTTTTTTTAATCTCTGTGTTTTTTTACAACCCAGCAGTAGCCTGTTTGGTAAGGACATATACAAAGGAAAACATCTGCAGCATCTGCATTATGCTTTAAGGAACTGCCACAGTAGTTATGAAGTATGCAGATACATGTGCTATTTGTTTCTTCCTCCCACAATGAGACCACAGCAGCAGCTTTAGGTTTGAGGTCAAGACCTATGCAAAAACAAGACTCAGTACATGCTTCCTAATTACAGCTAATTTATGGGAAGGGTTATGGCAAGGGAAAAAAACCCACAAATTGCAGCCCTACATGGCACACAGAAAGAGGTGTATGTTGTATATACCAAAATTGGGTATGTGTAACAGCTGTGAGATGTGTAAGGTCGAGCATCATGTCCTTTACTGTCATTTAAGATTTTCAGATAACGATTTTCCTGAGTTTCTTGTTGCACAGCGAAGAAGAGCTTGGAAGCACAACTGAGGTACTGCCAGGCTCACAGAAAGGAAACTTGGTAAATTTCCTTCAAGCCCACTGTAGAGAATGATTCCAGAAAAGACACAAACAGGTGACTGGAACATCTCATATTACACACAACAATCTTTGTCACTCTGAGTAGATTAAAACAAATTCAGCCACTACTTCCACAGCCACCTGGGGTCTTCTGCCAGTATAATTGGTGTGGTTCAGCTACTTAAGGTGGATGTAGGCCTAGATAAGGCGGTGCACACAACAGTATGTGCACCCTGGCCAGATTCTCAGTTCTAGCAGAAGTCTGCTCAGTGCAGGAATGGGCATGATGAGAAGGAAGAGTTTTATTCTGTCTTTGTGTTTCCTCACACTCAGCATAGCTTGCAGAATAATTTAGAGCAGCTTGATGACTGTTGTATCTTATGCTTGGGTTGTAACAACCCCAAGGGGCTGTTCCTGCAGACAAAAATAGATAAGAATAGCTGGAGAGCAGCAATACACTGGCTAATCCCCTACCTGAGACACACTCCCTACATCTGGAGCTATGAAAGGGGCCAGAAAAAAAAGGCTGTTACATGCATATTTTAAGCCAATTCAGTGACCCCTATTACACCCGGGGTACTTCCCGGAGGCTAATTCTGCTGGTTTTACGACCTTTTTATACCACACGAACAGCATACGAAGAGGATGCAATACAATGAAGAATTCAACCCCATAAATAAGAGTCTAGTTCCACGAGAGTTGCA